TCTAATAATTTTCGTGTCTTTTCCGAGTACTTTTTCAATCATTTGCGCAGCGAAATCCATTATTACAGTTGAAAATATTTCAAATTTACCCTCCTGGATAAGAGTAATTGACACCGAGAAATTTTCCCAACGTATGTTAATTATTTTTGTTCCAATTTCTTTTCACAAATTTTTTATAAAAATTACATACAACAACAACAATTACATATTACAACAAAAATATATAGATATAATGTCGAAACTTTATGCAGAACTCATACTTTGTATATAAGACACTTTCAGAAAAAAATTGCCAAAAATCGCATTGTGTGTGTTGGAGATTTATTAAATTTTCCTGAGTTTTCCACAAAGTTTTGAAATTTTATCTTTATTTTTGTCGTAATATGAGCTATGTTTTTATAAAAAATTAAACTTTGCACGCATGGTGAAAAATGCTTTTTTGTGTCAATACTTATAAAAAAATTAAAAATATTAAAATATTGAAATCAAGAAATCCATTTTACGTGCGCGGGTTCTTTGCCTTTTGTACTTGCAATGTTGTTTATTTTCGTTTTTCCAGCCTGTCTTTAGCACGCACAAAATTATTTTGTATGTTTGTTTATTTCTTGGTCTGTTCTTTTGAATTTGAGATGGCAAATATCTAGATAAAAAACATTAATATAAGGCCATACATACCTTGCATATGTATATTGCAATTTTTTTACACAACACACTTCACACCACGGCTCGATAATTATTGTTAAAATTTGACCAAAAGTTATGAAAAAATATGCTGTTAGAAGCAAAAGCAGCTGAAGCGAATGTTTTTTTTTTTTTTTTAAATAGCAAAGGAAACGATCACATTTGCATCCCCAGCATGATCAATCTGGTATTGTCCTACATTACGTTTCTATACTTTCAACAAATCACTTTTCATGGGTAAGGGTAAGTTATTTTCGAGTATTTTTTAAGCGCGGAAGCGATTACTCAATTCGAGCAAAAGTGATCGAAGCAGACTCATTTAGGCGATTTTTTATTAAAGTAATCTTCCAAATGCTATGTGGTGTTGATTTTATTGAAATTCCGCTTGAATAACTGACTGTATTCATAAAATTATGTATGTGTGTATGTACTTTGAGTAAGGTGTTAAAAAATTTAAACTATTTATATAAGCATTTGCACGAAGTTTGCCCTCTTTTACGATAGAGGTAACGGCGCCTTATTTGAAGGTTTCGCCGATTTTTGAGGTGGTGCTGGTTGATTAGATTTATTTGGTGGTACACGTTGCTTATTCGGTGGTTTCATTGACTTATCATTCGTATTATTCGCTTGTGGTGGTTTTCTACCCGGCTGCTTCTTAACGACTGGTGGCGTTGGTTCCGGGGTAGGTGGCAAAGGTACGGTGGCTGCAGGCGATTGTGCCTTTAGCGGTTTAGATTTACTAGGTGGTAACGGCCTCACCGGTACGGCTGGTTTAACTAGCTGTGGTGGCACTTCTGCCGAATCGTCAGATTCTTCATGCTTGTTGATTTGGTCCTCATGTTGTGGCTCGATAGCGGCGGTATTTTCCAAGATCGGTGGTTTCGGATATTCTACATTATGTGGGGATTCAAGATCCAAAATGCTTGGTGGTTGATTTTCACTAGGATAATACGGTTTGGGTATCGCCGACTCTTTGCTTGATTCTTTTTGTGAAGATGAGTGCGATAGGTGGGCAAGTGGTGAGCTTGTTGGCAAAATATCCATAGGTGGTGGTGGTATGAACTTTCCAGGTGTTGTACAAGATTGTAGCACAAAGGTAAAAAGTTCACCAATTTGGCAACTCATTTTGATCTGCTTGCCTCCGATGCGCGTGCAAACGTAATAGTCGGAATTACTATGGTAGCTGGGCCAACGTATGCCAATCTCTTCGCGATCGCATCTCAAATGGTAGTCAGCGTAGCCTTGGACCACAGCCACCAGGCAAAGTGTCGTTATGGTCAGTTCGAATGCTTATTTGTGAGGAAGTAGTGGAAAAAATTACGTGTATAATTTTATATGTCTATATTTGTGTGCCAAACATTAAATGCTCACCTCTCATGGCTGGTTGTTTTTGACTCCTTACTCCTTATGCCGCCGTTACTGCTGCTGTCCGAACAAAACGAAACTGATGAACTGTTTCATTTTTACAAGAGATCTCATTATTTATAGTTATTTCTTGTTTCTTTTTTTTTCTTAGCATGCCCGTTTTTCATGACCAAAATTATTACTTAATAGATAGCGATATGATTGATTTTGATTGTCTCAAAAGCTTGTCGATGTTATCATTACGATAGCACGTGGCACTGAACTTTTGGATAAAAATGTCGACATTCTGTGCAATTTACATCTTAAGGAACACAGGAACATGATGCCGGAATGGCCGCGCCCAAACTGATGTAGAAATTTTAAATGATAAACAATAAATACTAATACATATATACTTTATCGAACCTTGTATAAAACTATCAACTTGTCTGATCGCAATGATATCATTACCTTCAAATGTAATGAAAAAGAACACACTTCTTAACTATCCAAAACTAAGTACATTACAATGATCCAAATTGTTCCGTGCCTCATCACAACAGAAGTAAAAAAAAGACTTCTCCGCCGTAGGTATCCCCAAATTTTTATAATTAGGCTAGAGTTTTTTGAGAGAATCTTACAAATATTAGAATTCAAAGTTATAGCGTCTAGTGAAATAACGTACAGCTCATGACCACTCCCCTTTCCGGTTTTCTGACCCCTCTTCTGCTTTGGTTATACTCAAAAAAAAGTTTTCTGCACCACCCCATCAATGTACCTTCTATGATATGCAGGAAAACTGACTGAAATTCTATCAAAACCGTGGTGTCTTCTACGCTTGATTTGAAAGTGACTTTGAAATGTTACTCGAGATATAACTGCGACTTTTGAGCATTTAAACGCCTTCCCCCAGCGACCCCAAAAACTATCGGATGCCCGGTTTCGAACAAATCCAATCGGTTTTTGAAAAATTGATCGCCATTTTGGATTTTGAAAACCTGACTTCAGGTTACAAATTAGCAACCCCAGAAAACTCCTGGTTCAGTGTCAACGTTTTAATTTTAGTAGTCTCTTTTCGAAAGCACATTTTCGGGCACTAGGCCAGTTCGAACTGTCTAAGACAGGTATGTAATTAAGGGAATGTTCGCCAATAATATCAGAGTAATTACATATAAAAACCACATTTTTAGCTGCATTTTAACATGTCATGTTGTAAAACAACCCAAAAACTCAAACTCTAAAAAAACTTTTTTTTTAATAAAAAAATATGTGTCTCTGTTTTATCACAAATAACAATATTTTGATGTAGCGTTTATGAATTTCTAAAACCAGTTTTTTTAACCACTCTAACTTACGTAGAAAAGAAATTTAGTCAAACTTTCAAACTTAATATGTAAATACATAATTTAGAAAAGTTCATCTAAATTTTAAACATTTTAATCAGATTTTTGTAGCCTCTTAAAGCTTGCACTTGTTTTGCTAGAATAACATACATTACCGATGCACCCGCATCAAAATTTAGATGGAAATTTGTTGAACTGTTCTAAAATCTGTATAAAGTTTGAAAGTTGTATCAAATGAAATGTGTTTTAAAAATCACAAATCTGGAGATATTTTTGAATAAGTTTGCCACTTACTTTCAACCTTAATTTTTTGTTTATTTATTTACATTATTATCTTCTATTTATAAGTAGTAAAAGACATTTTTTAAACAATGCTTTGCTTATATATTAAGTGTTATCCCTTAATGTATGAGTGTGAGGTTGCCACTTATTTTCAATTCTACAAAATTTAACATTAGGCCAGAAATAATTTCGTAGAGAGTTGCCACTTTTTAATACAAATTTGTATCTTATTAATTTCAATGAGCATTTTTTTGTAAGCAAGCATACATTTTATTAATATACAACCAAAATATGTACTCTTTTTAATGTAAGATATTTATTTCAATTATTAGAATCAAAAAGAATTTTTTTCTTAACTTATTTCCAAAATATTCCTTTCATAGAATTCGGAGGAACTCAGTAGGCGAAACTATTTGTGATATTTTTTGTTATCAGAATTGTGTTTTCAAAGTATTTCTTTCATATCATTTCACATACATACGCAGTATTGAATTCCCTTAACAATGTTGTATAAAAAAAAAAATATTCATCAATTAAGCTATCCAAATGACTATTAAGGTTTGGGTATCAAAACCTTAAAAACTTAAAAGATTTTATGCACTAAAAGCCAAGGTCGGTCAACCTACAGTTACCAAGAAGATAAATCAACAGCGTACCATTTTAGACTGACCAAAAAAAGAGATTTACAACACAGATTTTAATGCAAAAAATCGTCGAAATTTCTCTGAAAGTAGCCACTTACGCATTTGAAATTAGCCCCTTTTCAATTTTTTAATTAGATCAGTTTTTGTACATAGTATGTATATATGTACATGTGTATACATGCATTTACATACTATTTTTTGGGGAACTGCATATTTTTCTTATCTTGTTCCGGTTGAAAAAATGAATGAATGAATGTTTGTTTGTTTGTGTAAACTAATTTGTACTCTTGTTTTACTATCAAACTATACATACATAAATATGTACATGACCCAAAAATCGATAACGAATGCCGAATATCTACTGAAATTTAAGTGACATAAAAGCATATTTAGCAGTTCATGAGATAATCAGATTAGAGAAATATGTATTACAATGATTTAAAAAGGTTTTGGTTGCAAATATTTTTGAAGAGAGTTGCCATCTGTTTAAAAAGTCGGCTTTCAGTCGGCCTCTTCACTCAGAAACGGCTGCATGGATTTAGATGAAATTTCGCGCACATGACGCTTATAACGCTGACTAACATTTGGGATGTTGTTTAGGGTTTTGAATATGGTTGCCACTTGCTTAAAAACTTATATGTAATATTGGCGTTTTAACGCCATGCGAGCTCACTAGCTATACAAATTCCCATGCATTTTTTCACAGGCCTACAACTACTGGCTAAATGACATGTACATGGATGTGCGTTTGCCGCTGCCAATCAATTCAAATCCCGGCATGCCTATGCCGCCCGTCCGCTTCACCACAGTACATGATGTGGCTCGCTTTGCCGCATTCCTATTGAGCGGCATCATGAAGCACAAGGAGCTGCTGGACAGGTACATATTTACTACATACATACTTAGTGCGTATTCAAACTAAAAATAATTAATCTCACTGCTCGCTTAATGCACAGCGGCAATCTACCCATCGATCGTGCTGGTTCACGTGAAAAGAATCAACCACTCTGCATGGCGCAATACTATCGCCCACTAGGTTCATGTCGAATTCCTGGCATCGAACGCGATTCGCAATATCTAGTTGAACGTGGCGAGAAGAGCGATGAACATGTGATTGTCATATGTCGCAATCAAATGTATTGCGTCAATGTCAAGACCAGAGAACGCGGCCAAATATCGGAAAGTGAGATCGCTTCAAATATTCTGCACGTACTCAGCGATGCACCATGTTTGCCAACCAAACCGCCGCCGGTAGGTCTACTCACTGCCGAGGAACGTACACGTTGGGCCATGAATCGCCAACTGCTGCTGGAGAACGATGTCAACCAGAATAGCATCGAGTTGATTGAGAAAGCGCTGTGTCTGCTTTGTCTCGATGAGCCGCTACCGAACACCTTCAACGCTTACACCTTTAGCGCAGCGACGCCAACGGGCTACATGGTTGGTGATCGCGACGATACGAATATGTTGCATGAGATGATACATGGCGGTGGCAGCGCTTACAATTCGGCTAATCGCTGGTTCGATAAGGTGTTGCAGATCATTATTTGCACTGACGGCACCTGGGGCATTAACTATGAGCATTCCTTTTCGGAGGGTGATGCAGTTGTGAATGTCATTGAGAAAATTTATAAAAATTTGGAAGACAACAAGCAGACCGCATGTAATAGTGTATCATCGCAGCCGCCACCTGAACGAATACCGTGGGTTATAACGCCACAGTTGGAGGCACGCATTAAGGAGGCCGTGGTCGCGGTGGATAAGTAAGTGGAAGGGGCGGGGAAGAAATGCAATGAAAATAAATTATAATGTGCAACCTTCTGTGTTTCCTTTCGCAGGTCAGTTAGCGACTTTGATTTGTATGTATATCGATATAAGGGCTATGGAAAGAATTTCATCAAGAAGTGCAAGTGCAGTCCTGACGCCTTTGTGCAGCTCATGCTGCAATTGTCCTACTTTAAGTAAGTGCAACACAACTCCGCCATATGAAGATCCGTATTCTAAATAATAATAAAATGTTCTTTTAAAAACAGATTGTATGGCCATTTGGTAGCCACCTACGAGAGTGCTTCCACGAGACGTTTCTTGCTGGTAAGCTTACACACATCAAACAAAAATCTATGTACTACAAATACGAACACAAAATTTCTAACAATTTTCTTTCTTCAAGGGTCGCGTCGATTGCATACGCGCATCCCACAAGGAGGCACTCGATTGGGCTACAGCCATGTGCCAAGGTGAGGGTGCAAATGTGTCCTTGGAAAGCGAAGGAGAAGATGACGATGCACGCAAAGTGAAATTCAGCATTTATGATGTAAGTAGGGCCAATAGAAAAGTGAAAAACTGTGCATTTACGAAACTAAATTTTTTTTTTCTTTGCATAGAAAAATAAGCTCAGAGAACTTTTCCGCATTGCCTGCAATCGCCAAACCGAAATTATGGTCCAAAATATACTTGGGCATGGCATCGATATACCATTGCTGGGCTTACGAGAAGCTAGTAAAGAGTTCAACAATGGTCAGGTACACGACCTCTTCAGCCATGAAACATTCACAACTGCCAATATTTTTCTGCTGAGTACAAGTCAGGTAAGATGAAGTTTAGCATCTTTGATCGAAGAAAATCTTCTCTATTCTTCTAATATGGAAATTATAAATTCAGCACAATTAACTGTAGCACAAACATGCACATACATACGTGTAACCAGGTATATATTCGCTAAGTGATTGCTATAAATTCGCACAATCACACGCACACATAAGTATAGATTAAAATATTTTTGTGGAAAATGTCTTAAGTAAGTCGAAGTTGAAGATGAATACCAAGACGAATAGTTAATCGGAAATGAAGATGAACACTAACGCTATTACTAAGTTGACGTGATTACGAAATCGAATATGAGGACGAAGACGAATAGGAATACGTATTTATGTCGAATAAAAAGTCACAGAAGAGCACCTTGTCGAATACGAAGGTGAGGATAAAACGAAGGCAAATACGAAAACGAAAACAAATACGAAGACGAAGACGAAGACGAAGACGAAGACGAAGACAAAGAAGACAGAGATAACTATGAAGGCGAACACGCAGAATAATACAAAGACGAAGTCAATTACTAACGCGAATATGAAAACGAAGGTAAATATAATAAAGAATAGAAATACGAAGTCGAATACGAATATGACGATAATGCAAACACGGATACGAAGTGGAATAAGAAAGTAAATACGAAGACAAAGAGGAATATGAAGGAATTCTTTGAATATATGAGAAATCTTTTAAAAAACTTTCTAAAAATGAATAATATCAATACATATTTACTATCTTCATTTAACTTAGCAGAACACATAAAATGAAATTTGGGAAAGTGGAAAATCTTTCCTGTTCTGAATCTTGATTTTTTAAATAGAAGATAAGCTCTTCAAAACTGTTTTAGTAATAAAAATATTTTGGAAATTTGCAATTCTCGTAAAAAATTATCGTAAATATTTTTCACCATTTCTCATGCTTTGAAAAGTAATTTGCTGTTGCTGTGAATTTTCTTGAAAGAGCTGTAGACAGCCCTTCAGTATCTTTTTTTTTTTTGCTTGACATCCCCCTCTCAAAAATATACTCGAAATAAAGCATTGTGTTTCATTTAATTGCTGTACTATTCTTGTTTAAGAGGTGGCTTTGGCTTTCGACCCATATTGTACAACTTCGTTTCTGAGGCAATCCTATTAAAACTGTTTGCGTTTTAAAACTGTTTTAATCTCGTTTGTTGGCACCTAAATTAAATAATTTTGTTGAACTTATAATTTAAAATAAAATTTATTTATATATTTATTTTTGCAGGTAGATGGCAACCCTCTTCAAATATATGCTATATATATATAATCTAAGCTCTCTAAGCTAAATTTCATCCAAAGAAATAGCAACAAATATACTCGTACAATCACTCACAAACCTTCACATTATTTAGCTTATCAACTAAATTATTTTTAAATTTTTACACTACTGGCAACCCTGGTCAAAATATTTTCGAAATAAATACGGCTTTCTTAGACCTCTTTCCTTCGATATCCATATAAGGGATATTTTATTAAACCTGTTAATTAAAATGGTTTTGAATTTCTAAGCAGGTGGCAGCGCCTTTAGAAATAAAGCTTATCTCTTTCGTTTGATACACAAACTTAGCTTATACAACCGATTTTAACTTTTTAAACAGTTGGCAACCTTCAGACATATTGTTTTCGTAAAAAAACGTTTTTGAGCCGCTTGCGATATTTTTGTACGTATTTATTGATTGATTTTAACTTTTGGAACAGACTCAACTATTAAAAAAAAACCATCATACATGTTAGTCTTGGCCATAACCTATCTGTGCGCCAACTTTCATTTAAATCCGTTTAGCTGTTTTAGCGTAAGAGAGCAACAAACACATTCACTCACAAACTTCCATATTTATAATATCGAGTCCTGCCCTAACCGTCAAAAAGATGTAAGCGACATTTTTTTCAAATTTTTATTTTAGATGCCGAAATGCATCTGGATACCGTAGGCACATTTCTGAATCAAAGAGAAAATTTTGAGAAAATGTCGCTTACATATTTATGGCAATGAGGGCTCAATATTAGTACGATAAAAAAATTAAAGTTTTTGTTTCTAAAAAAAAAATCTCGTCAACAAAAACTAAACTTTGTTTACATTCAGATTTTTGTTTAGCTTACAATTTTTTCCTACTGTGCGAACGCGTGCTACTAAACTCACTTAAAAATCTAACAAGGCATAATAGAACTGGCTACATAACGCTAGAGCACATGTATCTTTTTTATACATACAATTTTTTTATTACAAATATGTACATAATTTTTGTGCGTAATTATGTACTTATGTATGTATGTACATATGTGTACAGTTTTGTACATAAGTATCACTTACACCCAAGGACACTTAAATCTAACACATCTATGTATATTTGTATTCTTGCACCGCACCGATCAGCACTGCAACGTTTTTTCACTCTGCACCTTTAAATAAAGCTAATGCAACACGCACTCGAGCTTAGTGACGCACTGTACAGTACGACTAGGCGTATACGTCGTATACTGCTTATGTATGTATGTTGCGTTGTAGCATACGCACCCACATGCATACATACATATGTATTTACATATGTATATTCATATGTGTAAGTAGAAGTAAGTAAGTGGCTAAGTATAAGCTTTGCATATTTACTTGCATGCACAAATATACTCGTATACATATACAATGTATGTATGTAGATATGTACGCTATTTCAAAAGTTGTTCGCCGTTATAATTCACAGGTGGCTACCAAATCGGATGCTTTCATGGGCTATGGCGCGGTAACGCCACGCGGCTATGGTTGCTCCTACAATCCGCATCCGGATGAAATTGTCTTTTGTATATCCGCCTTCTATTCCTGCGAGGATACAAGCACATCACGCTTTGCCAAATCGCTGAAAGAATCACTAGACATGATGAAGGATCTAATGAAAGACGAATCAGAGCAAAACGAATGAAGTACAGACGAGATGCTGCGCTAACCAAAAATATGCGGCAAATTGTAAGAGTTGTTAGAGTTACTAAAAGCAAAAGCAAAATATACATATCTATATAAACATATCAGCAAGTTAACCGCAAAGAGCAAGCAATTAATTTGCAACTAAATATGTATAACAACCAACAATACCACAAACATATCAGCAAAGGTACCTTAACGTTGTAGTAAACGTCGTTGAATTTAGTTAAATGTATTATTATTATAAATATTTATAATCAGAAACATATCTGTAGGCATACCTACATACATACATACAGACATGTAAACATATACATATACATACATATATATTTAATAGATGACTGTAAGCATTAGAGAAATTTATGACATTGTTGAAAGATCTTATTGTTAGTTAAACGAATAGCATAGGCAAACACACAATATATACATATATCACACATTTTACAGAAAAGTACGAGAAGCAAACAATTGCCTTTGAACAAAAATTTTAATGCAATAGAAATCACTCCAAGACATGTAAAAGAACTCTTGCGGTGAATAAAAATATGCCCATACAAGAATACTTATAGTACATTCATATATACATACATATATGAGCAAATCTCACGAGTTATTTTTTTTTTGGTGTCACTCCATTCTCTTGTCTGAAAAACAAATGCTGAAGCATTCTTCTTGCATTTATTTCAATAAATGGAGTTACACAATACAAAAATAAATCCATTATTTGAACAATTTTATCCTTAAAACGTTTATTTTGACGAAAAAGTACATAAATTACTCACTTTTTCATTTTCACTCGAGAAAATCATATATTTTCTAAAACCATTGGGCAGTTGTATCCTTTTCTCTCTAATTACCTGTAGTTTAATCTTTCTTTCTCTATCTTCATCTTTATTTTTATCGGTATCCTCATCTTTTCTTCATATTTATCTTTGTTTTTACTTTTATGTTTATAGTTTTCTTCATCTACACCCCCTTCCCCTTCACTTTTGCTCTCATATAAGTAAAGTGTTTACATTTACGCATCTTTTTTTTTTGTTTTTATTTTTACCTTTGCCTTTATCCTTTTCTTTATCTATGTATGTACGTACTCACCTTTACTTTCATTCTTGTATTGGTCTTTTTCTAAGTGTTATTCTTTAACGTTTTATTAGCAAATTTTTGTTAAATTAATACCATGTGCATACCCTCAAGAAGCACTTGTTTCAGACCCAACCAATTCCGTCGCACCATTTCCGTTGCATCATTTCCGTTGCTCCATTTCCGTGTGGAATTTCCGTTGAATTTACCAATTTACTCCCAACTAACAAACCGCAGCTAAAGAAGTTTCACTTAAAAAAAATATTTTGAATATGATTTGCGAAACAAAAATTCCAATTTTTATTGCCACACTCGAAACTCGTTCTTATATTATTAGGTACATGATGAAATTATTGTATGTATATAGAAAAATATTTCATGCCAATATTTAATTATTTTTAAATAATATGACTTTTAAGTTAAGCGTGCGAGTAAACAGGTAAGCTGACTCTGTAAGGTGCTACGCGGCAAATACATTGCATACACAACTTCGAGTTTTTACTTTTACTTTTTTCAGTATATCTTTTTTAAGTTTTCATTTAAATACAATTTCGCGTTGGAATCTTGTTCTTCATGCAAAACTGAATATAATGTATTGTCTAAGATAAGTGTGCCACCATTTTCGATCGAAACCAAGTTCTTGTCGTAAAATGTAACAACTCGTGAGATTTTCTCATATATTCATGTGAAAATCAATATACCTACAAGTAAATAAGCATAGAGGCTAATCAAGTGGTTTCCTAAGATTACAAATTAGTTGCGAAACTAGCTGCATACCCGTTCACTTTGACACCAATTAAATTTCCATAGTTGTAGAGACGAATAACTTGATAATTTGTTTTTCATTTTTGTTCGCACTAACATAAAGTGGATAGGATAACATCTAAACTAAATGAGAGACAAATAAGCTTCAATGCACTATGGTCCGAATGCATATTTCTCTGGCCAAAACTAATTACGGCTAAATATGTTGGCTGACCGACCATAAGAGGTCTCACATAGGTGAATACAATGTCCGTAGCGTTACCAGATATATTTACGATCAAGTATTAATGTTTCCACGCAATGTCAAAGAACAATGCCCTATTGGCAATCTTATCAGAAGGCTCGAATTTGTTCTTCTTGTTGATATTAGGAAATCGTATGAATTACACATAATTTATGCAAGTCTGCAACCCTGAGTTCTTTTCCAAAGCCTAACTGCTTGGCGGTATATGAACAGATCTTGTGATCTTTTGATTTCCCGAAAAGGAATTGGTATATTCGTCATTAGTGAGGTGTCTAAGAGGACGCCCTCCTAGGCCAGCTCGTCAGCGCTCTCATTGCCTTCCACACCCTTGTGTGCGGGGTCCCACTATAGGTGGACGGTTTAGCCACAACTAGCCTTCTTATAGGCTCCTTTAATTTCGCAACGATTATCGAATTAATTTTATATAAAAGTAGAAACTTAATGGTCGCCTGACCATCTATGTAAATATTTATTTGCTCGCTTGTCGGGTTTATTTCAGGTAGTATCTCTGCCGCGTCCTCTATTGCAAATACTGCAATCTGCTTAAGGACCTATGAATTACCCGTCCACTGCAATCTACTGCAGCTTCTACTCCTTCGTCCACTTTAGAACTGTCTCTGTAGATATTTGTTGCGTTCCCTTTCCACGCCACGCCCTTACGCCAACCGACAACCCGGAATCCCGTAGTATAATCGCCCGGTTAAGGATGACGCTATACTACTGTGACCAAACGTTCTGAATCCAAGCTAACCTGCGGCATAAAGCGGATCCATATCACGGCTGGTGTAGCAGACTACCGATAGACTTCGACATTTGTGCCATACTTAGACAGATGTAACGGAACAATATGCTAAAAAATCGTTCTCAAATATTTATTTCTCAACCCGTTCTTAAGTTGACAACCAATATTTCAGAAAATCTGTAGTTTCCACTATGTTTCTAGTCTGAAACCAATTTCAAAATTATGAGCACCCGCATAATTAGCTAGGTATCTGCTATCATTGCGCAGATGGGATGATATTTATGTCCGGACGCTTCTCATATTTTAAATACCTGATTGTGGATAGCATACATGAAAACTCCACCAGCTTTCCAACATTGGAAGACAATGAGATGGGCCGACATTGTTAGGATTCAATATGTGGCCAGAAGATGAACCACTGAGCTCTTAAGCACCAGTCAAGCGCGCCGATTTCCTCGCACATCGGGAAAACAAAACAGACAAAAAAGAGCCAATATTACTGCAACCGACTGTATTTAGTCTGATATCTGTTTTCTAATAAAAACTCCACGAGTCCTTTTAGAATCTATTGAAAACGATCAGGGTGCCAAAGTTTACTTGAAGAAGAGCTAGGTATGTACATATGTACATGCTTACCACGATCATTGGACCGAAAGATGGTGTCCTTAGAAGAAATAATTACCAAAAGCTAAAAATTTGCCTGCCGGCTGCTGGCGCAACGTCATTCAATAATTTCTTGTTAACACGAAATAATTTTTAACTAATCCTGATTCAATCAGCGGATTAAATATAAAATTTTTGTTCCAAAATCAGTATATTTCCTAGCTCCCGAATAGAAAGAATAAAACCACCTGCTAAGCTTTAATAAATAAATATTTTTGGCGAAAAGATATCTAATGTAAGCAAATATGTAATACCCGATTTATTAGTCCCTATTTCTTAATACACACATTTTTAAATTACATTTTTTTGTTTTAGTTTTTAAGTTGTTATAAGTTGAAAACAAAACTATTCTCGAAGCGAGTTTGATAAAAATAATGAACAAATATAGTCAATTATATGTACAAATAAAAGAAATAAAAATATGATATTGAAAATGCATACATATGTATTTGGCACCATTAGTTGGAGCGCTTTCCGGCACAAAACTGTAGCAATGCATTTTAAGAAAAATAAAAAGTGAAAAAAAAAATCGTATAAATGTGGTGAAATCATGCTGAATTGTAATTCTCAAACGAAGCTGCGAGCCCACACTTACCTAAACATATGTTTCGAAAACACTAGCTTTGTGTGTTCTTAGTGCAATTTGTGATTGTTATTGTTCATAAAATTATATATATATATAATTTAAAAAGTATTAATATTTATATAGCAAAAAATATTTATTTGTATTTCTAAAAACACAAAGTTATTAATTATATAAATATGTTTAAAACATGCAAAATTTTTATTTTTTTTTATTATGTATTTTGTTAGGTATCTATTAGAAGAAACACCTCTTTTCCAAATTAACAATGAAATACGCAAAAATCATCGAATGAATACTAAAATTCTGAAAATTAACCAAATATTTAGCATAATAAGTTGTTATTAAAAAGCACTTACATACATACATATGTATTAGACTGTCGGTCCCAGATGAAAATTTCGTTGTCGGTCACAAAAAATAATTGTGGCAAAATGTCAGCCCCCCTATCTTAATTTTTCAGCTAGCGCTCGTAATAATAAGAATTTTATTAATGAATAACTGAATTTCTAACAGCCTAAAAGCACACTACAGCAAAGATGTTGTGCATTCTACTACTTCCAAAATTTGATTTACGTGTGGAAATGTGTGTGTGTGTGTGTGTGAGTATTTGAGTACTAGCCCTGCAAGAAAAACAAAGGTGGTCGGAATATTGTATTTGTTTAATTTCAGAAATCTGTTTCACTGGAAAAAAAAGAGTTGTTGAAAAATTAAATTTGGAAGCAGATTCCAAAAATTATATTTTACGTTTAACGAAAACTGTTTACGGAGCATGGGATGCACAATCAAAGCATGACAGCATGGGGATACAAACTCAAAGTGGCATAGAATTTCGGGGCGAAAAACTCCACAAAAGAGGGGGCTGAATATATTTATTTATTTTTTTAATGTTGGGGCATTGAAATACAAATATTTTCAATTAGCAGCTCAGGCCGGTTCTCAAATGCACTTCCGGGTGAATTTCAATCCCATTCAATTTGAATTCAAAGTGACTGGCTAAAGTTCACACGGAGGTGATTTGCCGACTTGTCTGACTGCTTCTGTTTTTCCATGTAAGAACTCGATTGAAAAACCCTCCATACTTACCCTGATTTTGAATTTATTAGAGGTCTGCATTATTTATGCTTAATTGACCATTCCACAAACTGTTAATTGTCTTGCATGGTGTCCACCTATTCATACAATACGCACTAG